GTTAAGCTCCCCCTGGCGGTTTTACAAGGTGACGCCGGATAGTTTCCGGCATGACTGCGTGATACTGCGTGACACTGCGTGATACCGCGAGACACTGCGTGATGCCACGAAATACCCCACCCATTTTGAATGGCTGCATCTGTACCTGGGGTGTCCTGGCCACAGACTTGAACCTGGGATCAGAGAGCTCATCCTGCTTTCAGAGTTTGTTCATCTGCAGGGCGAGATGTGTTGGTGCCCACTGCCATGGAAGTATGTCAGTTGCTTACAGGAAGCAATGGAAGAACTTCTGCCTTTGTACTCTATAGTTATATAGTCATTTTGCTTTGTTAAGCAACATTAGGTGTGGAAAAAGTTAACTTGCATTAACTTCACAGTTAGGAAGTATAATTACAACATTTTTAATCCTCTTAGAGTTTGTCAGTAAGGTTAAAGAAAATCACCAACACTGAATAAAGCTGATAAATTCAATTAAAATTTCACAAATAAATAATAGCCGAACATGATAAGGTTCTCCATATAATTACATTTTGGTGTTTAATTTCAGTCATTTTATTTTCTGGGTTTCAAATGGCTTTCTGAAAACCTCTGTATTTCAGTGCTATCTCGATGTTTTAAGAATAATTCCGAGGTGTTGAAAGGCTTTTAATGCAAGGAAAAAAAAAACGTATGCAAGACCACCAAAAAAGGGCCAGTAAACCTGTTTAAACATTTTCCTTGTGTGCTGTAAATTGGGATAAGTCTTAGGAAAAATGCAGTTTCTGATTTTTCCTGATATCTGTAATGTTGTGGCTCCTAGCCCTGTGTATGAGTGCTCAAGTCTTTCATGCAAGTATAGATGTCTGGCTCACACAAGTCCAAATATTTTCTAGAGGAAAAGCATATCGGATATCAGAGCAACTCTCCTGGCTTTGGCATTTGTCTCCATTTGAAGGATTTGAAGTATTCTCCATTTGAAGGATTTTCCTCTATGATTATGTACTTCTCTCTTCTCTTTGTTCTGGTAGGTCAGCAAAAGAAAATGGGAGTAAACCTTAAACTCTTCCGGATATGTGCTCTGACAGTTTTTAAGATGACGATTGTCAGCATTTTAGTGGTGATCTATTGTAAAGATGTGAGTTTTCCAGGAGTGATTTTGCGCTTCTTGTTTGCAGTTGTGGACAATTTGCAGGTTATAAAGAGCATCAGATTTTTCAATTCCCAGGCCACTCCAATGATCACCTACAATCTACAGCTACCGCACGGGCCGTATGATGTTGCTTATCCCTACAACTACACATACATTATCAATGAGCCAGAGAAGTGCAGCAAAATGACCCCGTTCCTGATCTTAATGGTCCCAGTGGCTCCAGACAATCGCCTGTCAAGGGACACCATCAGAAGGACCTGGGGTAATGAGAGCTTGATTCCTGGGGTGAACATTCTTCGGATCTTCTACTTGGGGCTTCCATCTGGAGAGCAAGCCTCTCGTATACAGGAAGAGCTGAAGAACGAGAGCCGAGAGCACCAGGACATGGTCCAGAAGGACTTTATGGACAGCTACTTCAATCTGACCATCAAGACAATGATGATCCTGGACTGGTTGACCTCCTACTGCTCTGAGAGTCCTTACGCTATAAAGATTGACACAGACACTTTCCTTAACGTGGACCATTTGGTTAAGTTCCTGGATCCCAAGGCTATCCCTACCAAGAAAGACTTCATCACTGGGGTGATCATTGAAGGTGGAGAAGCTCGAAGAGACCGAGGATCAAAGTGGTACATGCCTGAGGAGGTGTACCCCAAAAGGACTTACCCCCTCTATGTCTCTGGGATTGGCTACATCTTTTCCCTGGACTTGGCCCAGAAGATCCTGGAAAAGTCCAAGTACGTGAAACCTTTGCACCTAGAGGATGTTTACGTGGGCATGTGCCTCGAGGAGCTGAACATTAAGCCAACATACCCCCCAAGCCAGTCTCTCTTCAATCTTCAGTGCCTGCCCTTTGACAAGTGCCTCTACTCCAAAATGATCACTATGACAGATCTAAGCAACAGTGAACTTCTGTACTACTGGATTGCTTTTCAGAAACCTGGGCCTCCATGTTGAAAAGGAGAGGTGAGTGGGGAATATGAAGAAGAAGTGGACAGAACATCAAAAGTGTGACGTGACCTTTATAAAAGCTTTGTTAATGCTAATGGTAGTATTATGTGTTTTTTGCCTACATATTGTACCAAACAGTATTTCATGCCTTGTTTGGGTATGATTTCTTCCCTCATATACTATTGTAAATAATTATCTGACCTTAGTACTGGCCATAAAGGTTATATCATTTCATCCAGCAAATGTTCCTGAAAGGATCTCCCCAAATATTGGTGAGGAGGAAACTATGTTGAAAAATCCTGTCATCATTACTCAGGAATTATTAAAAATGGACATCTTATACTTTGTCTTCCCTCTCCAGTATATACAGAAGGTACTGTACTTGTCAAATATTTAATGGCATGTATTAAGCAACCAAGAGATTTGTTCAAACAAACAGCTGAGACAAATGACTCTTTTTTCCACTGTTCATGTGAGTTTGTTTACAAAAAACCCTGGAATCCATCTATTCCTCAGCTTCACAAATGTTTTGGTTTATAAATAATCTACAATACATTAATCACTTGTAAAATAGAAGTACAGTTCATATCTGTTTTGCGGTTCAAAGTATCCCAGGATAAATGTTATGTTTTACCCCAGCGGGAAGAGAATAGGCAAGTTCCTGGTACAGAAATACTCTGTTTTTTGTGTTAATCACACAAAAGTGGTACTATTTGAAAATAAAAATTAAAAAAGCATAAGGCTCTACTAATAACAAAGACATGAGGATGGATTTTTATTCTTTTTTTCTTAAGGTGCTGTTGTGCAAAATTACATTTAAACTACAAGGAAGTGAACTTAAACCTGAGAACAGGAGATACTTCTTCACACAAAGGGCTGTGGCAGTGTGGAACAAGCTACTCAGCAGTGATCAGTAAAGTTGATACCCTCATTTCTTTCAAGAAGTGGCTGGGTCAGATCCTTTGATCAATTAATGACCATCTACCAAATAAGCCAGATGGGCTGAATGACCTCTTGTTTGTAAACCTTTCTTCAAGGCTTCTGCTCTTCATCCTACAGATGTACACTGAGTAGAGAAGGGAACCTTCAAGAACAATAAGTTACAAATCTGCACCAACATGTTCTTAAAAGGGGGCAGATTCATTAGATCTCAGAAGCTTATAAAGGTTGGTGCCTTCTCAGTCCTGGGATGGGAAACATACAGTACGCTGCTGCTGTAAGTGGTGGGGTCCAGCAGGTATACTTTTCACTTTGGAGCAGAAATTTCAAATCATTGCCACAATACAGTTGTACTGGGCTGATTAATGAAATATTCTAACTGTCATCTGACTACTTGGTAATTAAAATCCTATTGAAATTACATAATAATGTTGTATAAGTAGAATCTGCTCTTCAACCCCATGTCTAAAGGAACATTTCTCTGGGTCTCACCATGATTACAAGTTCCCCATTTCACCTGCTACCTGAGCATTTTTTACAGGGATGTATTTATCTGCTAATTATAGATTATCACCTGAATAAATAAAATACATTTTCAAACTTTTCTGAATTTTTCAGAATTTTCAGAATTTTCCTTGACAGGAAATTGCAGTGCTGAAATTTTATCATAAAAAGGATGGAGATTTTTTGAGACAACTGAAAAGTGCTCAGGACCTCATTGATTTTGGAAAACCTATTTTCCTATTGCATTCTTTTTTTTACCTCCAAATAGATTTATAATGTCCGACAATGGTTCAATTTCTGAACAACTGAGGCAGCGTATTGACTGTTTCATGAAGGATATTGTAAGTGCCTTCAGGTTTAGTTGATCCTTGGGACATAATACTGTATATATACTGTATTCTAATGCAACAGAATACAATGCACTATATATTATTTGCAAATAATATATAATATTGAAGGTGCAATACTGAGTTAGACAATAATAGAAGAAGTGTTACAAATGAGAGGAGACCTTTCTACTAACTTAGCATCTTAGATAATCCTAAAATATCTTGAAAGAAGCCTTGTTATCAGCATCAACATAATGGCTGAGCAGCTTGTACCAGACTCCCACAACTCTTTGTACAAAGAGGTGCCTACTGTCCTCAGTTTTACATGCACATTCACATAGTGCCACTTAGCTCAATGATTCTGAGGTCTGAAAAAGCAACTCTTCAGTGTGCGATCTTTTTACCCCAAAACTCCCAAAAACATCTTTAGATGATTTAAGTATTCCTGACATGTAGAAGTACCTGCAGCTGAACCTAATCAAAGTTTTTTGTATTTAATTATAAATTGCCAAACCTTTAATATTTACTTTATTTACAATAACACAGCAAAAAAAGCATAACACAATCATTGTAATTTGTGTTGACATAATGTCCGTTAAAGAGAAAAATGAGCTGTACATATAAAGGAAGTTGGAAGTGAATGAAAGTGAAAGTGGATGCACTCAAGGCTATAGCTATTGTGTGACAGAAAAGTTATAACTCTGTGAAGAAATGGCAGCAAGATCTTCTGTCCTAGAAGAGGAGCTATGTCCTGTCCTGTGTGTTATGAAATTTTCAGGGACCCTGTCACCTTGATGTGTAGCCACAGCTTCTGCAAAGCCTGCCTGGACAAACATTGGCAGACTGTAAGGTCTCAAAAATGTACCGTTTGCAGGAAGACCTCTAAAGAAATGCCTGTAACCTGGCTCTAAAGAATCTGTGTGAGTCATTGCAGGAGGGAAGTCTACCCGGGACTGAAGAACTCTGCAGTCTGCACAGTGAGAAGCTGAAGCTCTTTTGTTTGGCTGATGAAGAGCTGTGTGTCAGACTTCAAGAAAACATGAAAACCACAAATTCTGCCCTGTGCAGGAATCAGCACAGACATATAAGGTTTGAAGTTAAAAATGTCTTTAGAGAAGTAAAAATAATGGTTTTAACCTTATTACAGTATGTATACAGATAGTAAATATTTAAACACAAATGAATTGTTAAATGTTTTGATGACTCAAAAGCTGTGCTCTTTTTTCTGGAATTTCACATTGCTAATGGCTACTGTAGGTTATGTTTCTAACTTAATTTCCTTTGTGTTACTTGACACCAAGGGGTAGATATACTTATTTTGTTATATATTATATTGTGTAATAATGGTTAATATACTATTGTAGCAATTCATGTGCTTCATGAATGCAAATGTTTGTCATTGACTGGAATTTTTTTCAATAGTACTTTTACAGAGATTAAACTCTTATTGACTCATTTATTGAGAAGAAAATAAATGCTGTAGGAAAGCATTCAGCTATACATTCTGTAGCGGCAATGTTTGTTAATAAGACAGAATTAAGCGTTGGTATGCTGTCCTAAAGGAGGCCCCATCTCACCCTCCATCTCTGTGGTGCAGCCACAGAAAAAGTATTCATGCAGGCCGATTTAAGATGTTTTCTTTTGATAAGGAACAAGCTCCCAGACGGGGATGCACTTAGCTAAGCCTGGCTATCATGATCAATGGTCATCCATTGGCGCCTATC